TATCGTTTATATCGTTAAAATTATCTAAAGATACGTCACGATGCAATTAAAATTTGTATTAAAAATTTTATTAGAAATAAAACGTGTTTAAAGCTTTTTAAAATTCGGTATGCAGTTGGTTTTTCGATCTATTCCCTTTGAAAATCAACAGCTCCAATCTTGCTTGAAACAGTTTTTCAGTTGATCGAGCAGAGGTTCCGGTGAATCTGCGGGACCTAGTCAACCTGCAAGAAAGTTTCGTCGATAAATCACGGTGAACAGTGCGTGACCTTTTGGAGGACTCTCAGTGGCCCGTTCCATTATTCATGCTCCAGTTCGTCGATGATCAGATTCGTTTTGAGTGACAAACTCTGTTTACCCCAATTTTTCATAATGCTCGTTCCGCTCGAGCAATCAAAGAATTTATTACGATCCTCTAATTTTTACGACTCTGTTTCAATATTTCTAATTTTTTTAATGATATTATATTAGTAAAATTTTACTCCAATTTTTCACAATAATTCATTATTCTTTCAATATTGACTCCAAAATTGACTCTGTTCCAATTTTCGACGATGCTTTTAGAATCAATCCTCTCGATCGTAATTCACCCTCGTTCTAATTTTCCCTTTTGTTCCAGGAGCCCGTTTCCGGGTCAGCACGGCTCGGCCGGCAGGATCCGGCCGCCACTGTTGGGCCTGTCCAGCCTGCCCAACTACCCCAGGCCTTCGTTACCTCATAAACCACCGCCCGTACCTGCCAGCATACCAAAAACGACCAAGCTGCAGCCGGAGGAGGCGAAAGAGGGCGAGGGTGATCCAACCACCGGTGTCCCCCAACCGGCGACAGAGGAGAACGAGGTCGAGGGGCCACCTCTCAGCTCGAAAATCTCGCCTGCCGACGCAGCTCCCTCGCAAGACATAGCTATCACCTTGGTACCCGTGACGGCTATCTGCGTGCTCGTCGTGGGGCTCGGGATGGGTGTGTGGTCCATGAGGAACAAATTCTGCGGGAACCGAAAGTCTAAGGAAGACACGGTACGAGGATGGGATAGTTATTATGGATATAGCGTCGAATGTATTGTTTCTGAAATGTGGGGAGCTTCAGGTTTTTTTTTTTTTAAGCTACGTTGAATTTTGTATTTGCGATTTTAGATAAATTTGGGATGAAACGTATTTGGAAAACGTATGAAAATATTAGTATTCGTAAATGTCTGTTCATTTGTGATGTAATGTAAATTTGGGATCATTGATATTTGTATGAGAATATTTATAATATGTGGTAATAATAGTAGTAATTGTTCATTTAATGTTAGTAACTTGTTGATTGAGAAATTACAGTTTTATATTGTTAAGAATATTTATTAATTCCAACAGAGTAGAATAATATTAAGAAGAATGATCATATTCATGTTCATGTTCAAAATATTAAAAATTATTTTGATATTCTATTCGTTACGTTTTAAAATTTTGAAATAATTATTTTTGTTTTAATATAGAAAGAACAAGCTTCGGTTAGCGTCTCGAACATATCAGACGATCCATCGCTTGTCTTGAAAAGATGGCGAGGACCAAAAGCGTACAACAATCGATACGAGCCATGGGAAAAAGAGAATCAAGCCGGTCAGAATAAGCAAGAAGATAAATGGGAATTTCCACGGCATCGATTAAAGGTTGATAATCACGTTAATAAATAAATATAAATAAATATGATAATTATTCAATTGTAATTTCATATTCATTTTATCACGGAAATTTTATTTTAAAAGAATTATTCAAATTTAATTCTTTAAAAAAATTTTTCAAATGTAAATTGATTTTTTTTTTATATAAAATTATCTTCACTTTATATTTTCACTTTAATACATTTTGAATTAAATGCCATATATATAAATATTTTTTTAAAGGGAATGTTTTCTGTATTGATAATTAAAAAAGCATGATTTATTAAGTTTTTTCTCTCTATGTATAATTACTATTCAAATTCAAATGTCAACATTTTTTTCTTTCTTTCTTTTTCATCAAAAAAAAAAATAATTAAACAAATTATTTCATTAATAGGTTTTCAATATTCTTGGTGAAGGTTGCTTTGGTCAAGTATGGAAATGCGAAGCCTTGGATATTGATGGAAAATCAGGAGCTACTATAGTCGCTGTGAAGACATTAAAGGAAAATGCCACGGAAAGAGAACGATTAGATCTCGCTCAGGAATTACGAGTCATGAAAAATTTGGATCCTCATCCCAATGTAGTCAGATTATTGGGCTGTTGTACAGAACGTGAACCTATGTTCGTTATTTTAGAATATGTAAGCGGTGGAAAGCTTCAGAGTTTTCTGAGAGCATCTAGAGAAGAAAGGAATCACGGTGGACCTGGACTGACGTCTAGGGATTTAACTGGATTTGTTATCAAGTATTACATATTATGTAATATAAAATCTTTTTTAAAAGATAACTTAATTATGTATAATATAATTTTTAATATGTCTCTGAAATTTTATATAGAATCAATAATGAAAAAAAAATGAAGTAAATAATTTTAATTATTTTAGACTATTATTATTCAACTATCAGATACAAATGTAAATATTATTATTAAATTTTATATCTATTATTATTCACTTACATACTAATTTATATATCATAGATTGCCAAAGGCATGGAATATTTGGCTTCCAAAGGAATTATACATAGAGATCTAGCTGCACGGAATATATTGATCGACGAGAATCGTGCTTGTAAAGTTGCGGACTTTGGATTCGCTCGAGACGTGGCCGCTAATCAAATTTATGAAAGGAAGTCCGAAGGTCGGCTACCTATCAGATGGATGGCTCCTGAGAGTTTATACGACAACATCTTTTCTGTAAAATCGGATATATGGAGTTTTGGGGTATTAATATGGGAAATCGTGACATTGGGCTCCACGCCTTATCCCGGCTTAGCTGCAGCAGAGGTAGGATCTTAGAGTAGTAGGGTCAGCAGAGTTTATTAATTTCAAAGTTGTTATCCTCTAAAAAAAAAATTAAATGCAATCTTTTAAAATTAATTTTTCAGCATACACTTGTGATTATTCATTCATTTTAAAAATTGTTTAAATAAATAACAAATTATCAAAACTCTTTAAAAATTTAATTATATAAATGTAATTAATTAATAATTACAAAGTTTAATGTAATTTAAAATGTTCTTGACTTCTAATACTTTATTTCAATTAATTTTTATTATTATTTTATCTTCTAATCATAAATTATGTTATAAATTATCTTAATATTCGAAAAAAACAAGATATTTAAATATTCGCAGTACATTATATAAAATCATTTTTCTAGGTAATGAGGAGGATCAAAGAGGGCTACAGACTAGATAGGCCAGAACATTGTAAAAGAGAACTTTATAACATTATGTATTATTGCTGGGACAAAGATCCAGCATGTAGGCCATCCTTTGGAGAACTTGTCAGCCTAACAGAAGGTCTTTTACTCGACGAAACCGATTACATTGAATTGGATAGGTTCCCGGACCATTCGTATTACAACGTGCTAAATCTTAGCGGAGAGAAATTGTAAATGATTGTATCTAAAATATAACATTAATATCATTGACTGATTTATATGAATTTTTGATAATTAGGCTAATTAATGATGATTTTGCAGCACTGATATATGATGAGTATGCAATAATTTCTTTATGTTTTTCAATTTGTAAATATGCAGAATAATTTATATTAAAATATTATAGTTTATAAATATTTTAATAAAATAGAATTATGCGTCATATCAACTATTCAATGAGTGTTTTGAAAATCATAAAACTTAAATGTTTTAGAAATCTGTTTACCTGTTTACTGAGATTAAGTTCATCGACGATTTACCTGAATTACGCCAATTTGTATATATTAATAAATAAATGTGTGCAAATGATAAATAATTTCACACGTTGAACGAGTTGTAAGTATTCTGAAGAGATAAAGGCGTCGTGAACTAGTCAGAGGTCAAATAAATTTTTTAATGTACGTGTATTAAATATGCGAAACAAAAAGTATATTGAAATTATTCTGATAAAAAAATTTTTTTACATATGCGAATTGTAAATATGTATTAAGTAAGATTTTTAATAAATTATTATGTAATTATTTTTTTGTAAAAATAAATCATTTTAATATGATTTATTTCTTTTGTTTCTATGAATACATTATTTTAAAATTTACCCATTTATTTTACATTTTTTAATTATTTAAATAAATTCTTTCATTAAACTATATTAAAATTTATTACATTACATAATATGTAAATATATTTTATTTTTAATATATTTTTTAAAATAATTTTCTTATTTTTTATTTTTATTATATTATTAATTATATTATTTTTTTTTTAATTTATTGATATTTTTCTATTCAAAAATTATTAGTCTATTAATTATTACGATTATCGAAAACATCGATTATTTAAAAAATTACTAAATAGAAAAAAATTATCAATCTATTTAATATATAATTTATTGCCATTTTTTCTATGAATAGTATGAATATCATGAATAAAAGATATAAATAGAAGAATAGAATATATAATTTTGTATTTTACTTCTGCTTATTTTAATTAATATTATTTTAATGTATGTATGTATGTAATGTATGTATGGATTGATTTTTTGAAATGATTTGCATTGATTTTATACATATTCATAATTATTTTTTTATTATTAGATATTATCAAATACATAAGAATACATATATAATCCACGATGTAGTTATGAATAATTACATAAAAATATATAGAATTCTATTAATATATTAAATACTTCTACTATAAAACGAGATTATTCTGATTCTTTAACATAATGAAATCTGCTACTGGTGCAATCTGGAAATGCAAGCTAATCGAAATATTAAACTTTAATAAGTATAAATCATAATGTAATGTATTTCCATTGTCATTTATTTCAAATTCCAAATTTATTCTTTTTAATCTAAATATAATCTTAATATCTGTATATAATAAAAAACAAGAAATTCAATATAGTATCTTGGAGATAATTTCATTTCAGATAAATTTAGATATTTACTTATCTTAAGTGGAAATTACCAATATAACATAGCAGACGACATCGCATAAGTAGTAGCGGTTCTTATGCAGTAAGTATTGCAGTTTGTCGGTGTAATTTTATTTAATTAATTTTCTTATGTACAATTGTTCAATTAATTGCATATAATGATAATTGTATATAATAACGATACAAATTGATTATTTTAACAGTGCGTGAACACGTCATGGAGAAAGATAAAATTGTACCTTATTCGCGTACCGGTAACAAGGAAGAAGATGAGGTTAGTTTGTTGTGGACCGTGATCAATGAGGTTAAGAAAACTGTCAAAATGACAAGAATCAATCGGGTTTATTATTGTATTGTAAATTGTGTTGTATCATGAATTTTAAATTTTAAAGAGACAATTTTTTCTGTAGATATTATTGGAACCGTATAATTACATTCTCCAAGTTCCTGGAAAACAGATTAGAGCTACATTAGCACATGCCTTCAATTACTGGTTAAAAATAAAATCAGATAAACTTCGTGACATTGGAGATATTATACAATTACTTCATAATGCTAGTCTCTTGTGAGTTTACAAATCTTATTTATTTTGACTCTCAAACTATCACTTTTTTTTTCAAATATATTGAGTATATTGGATATATTTACAGCATCAAAAATTGTATATATTTATAGTATCACAAAGTTATTGATTATTATAATTTTTACAGAATTGATGATATTCAAGATAATTCAGTTTTAAGAAGAGGTATTCCTGTAGCTCATAACATTTATGGTGTAGCATCTACAATGAATGCTGCAAATTATGCCATATTTATTGCTTTGGAAAAAGTACTTGCTTTAAATCATGTAGAGGTAAATATGCTATATAAAAATTTTTTTTTATAAATTTTGATTTTAATATTGTTAAAATTAATATTAGGGTATACAAATATATTTAGAACAGTTATTAGAACTTCATAGAGGTCAGGGTATGGAAATTTATTGGAGAGATAATTATATTTGTCCTACTGAAGCAGCTTATAAACAGATGACAATTCAAAGTAAATTTTAACTTGATAATATTTTATCTTCAAATGATTTTATATTTCTTAATATTTTGTTATTAAATTTTCTTAATTTTTTCCTATAGAAACAGGTGGTCTTTTTAATTTGGCTGTAAGATTAATGCAATTATTTTCTGAATGTAAAGAAGATTTTGTACCTTTAACTAGTATTTTAGGACTTTACTTTCAAATTCGTGATGATTATTGTAATCTATCTTCAGAAGAGGTAAGTTTTCAGATTTACATAACAAAATAAAAGTTATAGTATATCAAAAATTTTTATAGTATGTTGATAATAAAGGCTATTGCGAAGATCTTTCTGAAGGAAAGTATAGTTTTCCTATTATACATGCTATACGAAGCCATCCAGAAGATAGACAAATAATAAGTATCCTTTTTTTTAATTATAAATAATCTAATTTTTCAAACATTCTTAAATATTATTCTTAGCTATTATTGATAAAGACATTCTTAGACAACGAACAAAGGATATTGAGGTAAAACGGTATTGTGTTAAATTGTTAGAAAAGTTTGGATCTTTTGCTTATACAAAGACTTTATTGGAAGAATTGGACAAGAAAGCAAGAGATGAAATTGCACGTTTAGGTGGAAATCCCTTTTTAATTCAAGTTTTAGATAATTTAAAATCTTGGAAATACTCAAAACACTCAAGAAATGAATAAAAATAAAAAATTAATTATATTATGTTTTTTTAAAATTATGTCTATACATATTTAATTTATGTACATTTTTTTTTAAATATATATATATATATATATATATATATATATTCTCTAATTAACTTAATTT